GAGACAGGATCTTGCTCTGTTGCCCAGGCTAAAGTGCAGTGTCACCATCACAGCTCACTGCCTCCTGGGACAAGTGATCCTCCCACCTCAGGCTCCTGAGTGGCTAGGACCACAGGAACACCACCATGCCTGGATAATTTTTTAATTTCCTATAAAGATGGGTTCTCATTATGTTGCCCAGGCTGATCTCAAACTCCTGGGCTCAAGGCATCCTTCTGCCTGAGCCCCCCTAAGTACTGGGATTACAGGCAGGAGCCACTGCACCCAGCAACAATGATGATATTAATAAACATTATTATGTGTCAGGCACAACACATGTGTTATGGACACATTGATTCTTGTTACAACTCTGTGAGTTAGATATTATTACCCCCATTGTACAGATGGGAACACTGAGATTCAGGACAAGAGATTTGCTAAGATTAGATAACAAATCAGTTGGAGAGACTTAGGTTAGAGCTAGGTCTTCACTCCCAGGCCTGGGTTCTTTCAACCTTGTTCTGTGAATTCTGTTGATTTAATAAGCCTCCATCTGAATCAGCCAGTGTTAGCAACTCAGGTGTTGCCTTATTCTATGACTTGCTCACTTTACTAGACTGGTGTGTCTTGTAGGAAGAGGACGATGTTCCAAAAGATCGTGGATCAGTCTAAGATGTACGAGAGTGAACAGGAGTGGACGCAGTACATGATGCTGGAGCAGACACGGAAAGAAATCGTCATGTGAGTTGGGATGGGGTTAAAACCTGACGCTCTTAGGCTTAGGATCATGGGGCGAGACGTTGCTCTGACAGCTCTTACTGCCCTCAACAAGCCTTTGCACTCTTTCATTTTGGAGGCCTTCAACATATGAAAAAATGAACTTATGCCAAATTCCAATTGCACAAACCATATGTTTAATCTTTATTTTTGCACTAAAAATGCAAGACGATATATTATTGTTTTATTTATCTGTATATAAAAGTGTGTTATTTGAAGTATTTCAATCATAATATCTAGGATTTGGGTGGTAAACTGATATAACTTTCCAGTTTTTGATACAATGAAAAGCATACTATACCAATTAAAGGTGTTTTTTTTGTTGTTGTTGTTTTTTGTTTTGAGACAGAGTCTCACTCTGTCGCCCAGGTTGGAGTGCAGTAGCAAGATTTTGGCTCGCTGCAACTTCTGCCTCCGAGGTTCAAGCGATTCTCCTGCCTCAGCCTCCCTAGTAGCTGGGATTACAGGCACCCACCACCATGCCCAGCTAATTTTCATATTTTTAGTCGAGACGGGGTTTTATCATGTTGTCCAGGCTGGTTTCGAACTCCTGACCTCAAGTGATCCACCCACCTCGGCCTCCTAAACTGCTGGGATTATAGGTGTGAGCCATCATGCCCAGCCCCAATTAAAGTTTGAGTGATAGTTAATGTGTCACTCAAAATATATAGGATTAATTTTTTAAGTATTCTTTTACATAGGACAACAACCTGCAATATAGGTGTGCATTCACAGATCGGTTATGGTTGATATGAAATTTATAGTGCACGGTGTGGCACTGTTGGAACGCTAATGAGATTCATATTTAAGTTGTCTGGTGAATGTCTTTTTTCAGTTTTCTCAGTGTGCTTCCATGATTCACCTCAACTGACAATGGGGTGAGAAGTGTAAATCTGAGGCCTTTTATGCATATGTGGCCCAAGCCAGATTGTCCCCTGGCTCCTCTGTGATGGGTCCTGGGCATTGAAGGCAATGGTCAGGAAAAGTTGCAGGGGGGACAAGGCCTGACCGGTTGCCTAGGAGGCATTGCCTTATTTGTTTAGCCCCAGATGCTTCTGTGGAAATGAGACTTGATTAAGTCACAAGCATTGCAAGTGTCTGCAGTATGATCCTGGGAGCAGTGCAGTCTGCTTTCACTGAACAAGGGGCACACTCAGCCCATGGTTACTCACAGGCTGACCAGGAGCTGTCCCCCGCCCCCCGACTATTTATTTATTTATTATTTATTTATTTTTGAGACAGGGCCTTGCTCTATTGCCCTGGCTGGAGTGCAGTGGCGATCAGGGCTCACGGCAGCCTCAACCTTCCAGGCTCAAGCAATCCCCTGAGCTCACCCTCCTTAGTGGCTGGGACTACAGGCACAGCCACTACACCTGGCTACTTTTTGTATTTTTGGTAGAAACAGGTTTTGCCATGTTGCCTAGGCTGGTTTTGAACTCCTGAGCTCAAGTGAGCCACCCACCTTGGCCTCTCAAAGTGCTGGGATTACAAGTATGAGTCACCATGTCCATCCACATTTATTTATAATTTCAACTTTTATTATATATTAAAGGATACATGGATAGGTTTATTACATGGGTATATTGTGTGACACTGAGGTTTGGGGTACAAACGATCCCATTGCCCAGGTAGTGAGCATAGCACTCAGTAGGTGGGTTTTTAGCTCACACTCTCCTCCCTCTCCCATCTGGTAGTCCCCAGTATCTATTGTTGCTGTCTTTGTGTCCATGTATATTTAATGTTTAGCTCCCACCTATAAGTGAGAATATGCAGTGTTTGGTTTTCCATTCTTGTGTTAATTCGCTTAATAGAATAGCCTCCAACACTATTCCTGTTCCTGCAAAGGCCGTGTTTTTTTTCTTTTTTTATGGCTGCATGGTATTCCATGGTGTATGTGTACCACATTTTCTTTATCCAATCCACTGTTGATAAGCACCAAGTTTGATTCCATGTTTTGCTGTTGTGAATAGCACCGTGATGAACATGCAAGTGCATGTGTCTTTTGGTAGAATTATTTGTTTTCTTTTGGATACGTACCAACTAATGGGATGTTGGGGCAAATGGTAATTCCGCTTTAAGTTCTTTGAGAAATCTCCAAACTGCTTTCCACAGTGGGTGAACTACTTTATATTCTCATCAACAGTGCGTAAGTATTCCTTTTTCTCCACAGCCTTACCAGCATCTGTTATGATTTGACTTTTTCTTTTCTTTTTTTTTCTGAGATGGAGTCTCACTCTGTCACCGATCTCAGCTCACTGCAATTTCCACCTCTTGGGTTCAATTAATTCTTGTGCCTCAGCCACCACAGTAGCTAGGACTACAGGCAACTACCACCACGCCCAGCCAATTTTTTGTATTTTTTGGTAGAGATGGGGTTTTACCATCTTGGCCAGGCTGGTCTCGAACTCCTGACCTCAAGTGATTTGCCTGCCTCGGACTTCCAAAGTGCTGGGATTACAGGCATGAGCCACAGTTCCCAGACTTCTTTTGACTTTTTAATAATTGCCATTATGACTGGTGCCAGGTGGTATCTCACTATGGTTATTTATTTATTAACTTCTGGTTTTTTTCCTAACGTTTTTCTTTTTCTGATTTCTGTAGCTGGACATTTCAAAATGGCTCAGCAGAAGGACTACATAGTTGGAAGGAACATCCTGCTGTTGGATAGAGGGACTTGATATTAGAAAGTTGTCTATTCTCCCTAATTAATTATTCATTTAAGGGTGATTAAAAAAAACAAAACAAAACAAACAAACCAAAAAAAACCCTGCTTTATTCCAGGGGAATTAGGAAGCTGATTGAAAAATTCTTATTTGAAATAAGTATGCAAGAATAGCCAGAAAAAGAAAAAAGATAAAAAAGAATGGCTAGAAAACTCTGACATAGAAGAGTAATAGTGGTAACCAGCAGAACTAAAGGCAGTTCAATCCTAGGCAGGAGAAGTCGTTCACATCAATAGGACGATCTTAAGGACTATGTCTGTGCTCAAAGCGGATTTTATACCAGTGGAGAAAGGTGTAAGTTCATCAGTGGTGTTGGGACAATGGGAGGGCCACAAAGTTAGATCCCTACCTCACTCCTTACAGCAAAATAAACTCCAGATGAATTAAAAATTTTAAAGTAATGAGGGAAAGAAAAGAGAGCATGAAGAAAGCGTGGAAGAATTAAGAATAATTTCAGAGCAAGATTTTCAAAATGTGGCATGAGGCTGGGTGCAGTGTAATCCCAACAATTTGGGAGGTCTAGGCAGGCAGATCACCTGAGGTCTAGAGTTGGAGGCCAGCCTGGCCAACATGGTGAAATGCCACTCTACTAAAAACCTGTTTCTACAAAAAATTTAGCTAGGTGAGGTGGTGGGCACCTGTAATCCCAGCTACTCAGGAGGCTGAGGTAGGAGAGTCCCTTGAACCTAGGAGGTGAAGGTTGCAGTGAACCAAGATTGCGCCACTGCACTCCAGCCTGGGTGACAGAGCAAGACTCCATCTCAAAATAAATAAATAAATAAATAAGACATGAAATCCATAAAGTCAAAAAATTAGATGGAGAAATCTGACTATGAAATAATTAAGGTTTTCTGTACAACACACAAAAACACATACCCTGGAAATGTAAGTGATAAGCTGGAAGAAGATATTTGCAACACTTCTAAGAGAAAAAGATCTAATTTCTTCAGGAAATAAAGTGTTAATACAATTCAAGAAAAAGACTAATCCAATAGAAAACTGGCAAAAGTTGCAAACCGACAGTTCCCAGAAAAAATACAGTGGGATATAAACCTATGAAAAGATGATGACTATAAAACTACAGTGAGATATAATGTTTAACTCCTATTGGCAAAGATGAGAGCATTTGCTAACATACTGTGTTGGGCAGATTGAGGGAAAAGGCCACCTCATTCCCCATGTGGGGGTGTAAACAGGCCCAGCCTTTGTGGAGGGCGATTTGGTAATACCTATCAAAGCTGTAAGTGCTCATGCCCTTTGACCCAGCAATCCCACTTCCAGGATTTCCTCTCCAGATATTCTCCCACACATACACAAAGCATGTGTACAGAGCTTTTTGTTACAGCATTGATTGTAACACAAACAAGATTGAAAACAATCTAAATACCTAGCAGTGGGGAGCTAGGTTAAAGAAACGATAACACTTTCATACAATGGAGTATCTTACAGACTTACAAAGAAATGACATCAAATGAAAGGTATTATGTTTAACTTAGAAAAAAAAGCCAGGAGCAGGAACCCAGCCATTGTCAAAGTCAAGGTGATGCTTATGTAGGCACCCTCAGATGACGGCACACACCCCCTCCAGGAACTCGTGTCCTTCCAGGAGTATGTCAGCATGGATAGCATTAAGGAAATCAGTGTTTTCTTTCATAATGTTAATCTTCCTGAGAAGGAAGCAGCGAAGTAGGCACAGCATTCTCTCACTTTCCCACCTTACAAAATAAAGCCAACTCCACTCTTTCTTGAATCTTCCTGCAGTGCATTGTCCTAGAGACAAAAGCCTCTGGGCTTTGAAATACAGGATGACTATTTCAAATACAGTCATCCGTGGGTATACTCAGGGCACCTGCTCCAGGACCCCCTAGTATACCAAAATATGTACAAACTCAAGTCCTGCAGTCAGCCCGGAAAAACCCTTGGATATGAAGAGATAGCCCTCCCTATACATGGGTTTTGCGTCTTGCAATCCATGTTCAGTTGAAAAAAACTTCATGTGTAAGTGGACCTGTGTAGTTCAAACCTGTGTTGATCAAGGGCCCACCATACGGGTGTTGTCACAGCCTCTCATAATTAAGGCATTATAAATCTAAGGAAGGGGCCAGGCCCAGTGACCATGTCTGTAATCACAGCCCTTTGACAGGCTAAGGCGGGTGGATCACTTGAGGTCAGGAGTTTAAGCCAGCCTGGCTAAAATGGCAATACTCCATCTTTACTAAAAATACAAAACTTAGCGAAGCG